GTGTGTAATGCAGCAAGTTGTTCTATTATTTAAACAAGCAGCGAGAAGCTAATGGTGTGCATATCCCCCGTTGTTATGAAACAGCAGAGTAGTTTGAAGGGACGCTCATGTGTTCTCTACATTTGAACAAGAAACAGCCTAAAACCCGCTCTGCTGGGACGCTTAGGTCTGCTATTTTCTCCGGGCTGCATGCATGCAAAGCTGAAATTTAATACTGGATAAGTTAATATTCTGTCCTGCTGCATATGAAATTACTTTTAAGAATGTAGGTTACCAAAACACTGAAGTTTAAATGATTTCTTCCTCCAACCCTTCAGGGCCTCGACTTGGCCTTCACCCCTGCATACCTGCTTGCTTTTGTTTTCCATTGGCCAGCAGTACAGGCAGTCATGAAAGAGGCTGAAGGCGAATTTCACATGAATCACTGTGTTTATGTAATAATCTGCATCACGGTCACATCTGTTCCCAATGTGCCACAGAGTTAGTAGGCATGCAGCTTCACACGTGACCATTTCTACATCACACGAGTTATGATGATTCAGATGGTTTATATACAGTATGTATGCTGGTATTCGAGGAATACCTCAGATGCAGCCTCTTCATTACAGAAAAATGTTTGGTTTTCCTCATTTGGCCATTAACAGGTTAAAACGACACCCTGCCGGCAGTAAATAGGCCTTTGGCTTCCATCTGTGACAGACAGGATTTATTTTGCCTTTCTTCTCCTTCAGGACTTTTCCTATGACGAATCGAAGGTGGAGTTTAACGTGGATGCTCCTAATGGTGTGGTGATGGAGGGCTACCTGTTCAAGAGGGCCAGCAATGCGTTTAAGACCTGGAACAGGTAACTACAAAAATCCACACAAACATTTATGCTACGTGAGCCTCATCTCCTTTTCATAGAGATCTGACAAAGCAGTTTTACTTTCATTATACAATATGTCACACAATAAAGAAAAGTTTGGTTACTAGGGTAACCCCGGTACTCTGAAAACCGAGTGAAGTTTTAAAGGGAACATTTTAAGTCACAAAAATGACAAACTTATCGAAAGTAGTTCTAGTAAATAATTTGGTGAAATGACGAGTAAAAAAAAAGTTAGGAAAATGTCTTAAAAACGAGTAGTTATGGACGAAACAATAAACACAACCAAACAAAATGGCATTAATAAGCAGGCTCAATGTATTGCTCAATAGAATACTTCATAATAGGCAGGAACTACATGAAGGAAAAAGGTTAAGTAGAAATAAAGAAAATTTACTAATAGTACTAGAATTTATTAGTAGTTCATTTTAATTACATAATTTAGAAAATATAATGAATTGTCTTTATAAAGTAAAATCTCAGATTCAATTAAAGAGGATAAAATCTTGAATTTCCAGTCAGAAAGAGCCTTGAAGATACATTTTTATCACCTTCCTTTAACATCGATGGGCCATTAAAGAGTTTCTTAATGCAAAACCTGAAGCAGAAGGAACAAAAACTTATTCTAGACTAGATGCATAGTCATAGTTAATACATTTGTAAATAAATACATGGTAAATGTTTTATGTTATCCTTTATTAATGTAGGGAAATGTGTTCTCTGCATTTAACCGAGTCCTCAGTGGGGACCAGTTCTAGCTCATGCTATGCATAATGCATTAATCACGCAAACTGTGACGTCAATACATCACCAGGACCTGCTGGAGGCTTGCTTGACTCTTTCTCCTAAGCAAAGGATAGATTAGGAGAGACAGAAGCTGTTAAAGGTGAATTCATGGTGTTATTAAGATTTTATTAACATAGAGGGATGAATATGTTAGAGCAGCCAACCAAACTTTGATGGAGCCAGCCGAAGCTCAAAGGTTTGTTCTCTGGGATCAGAGCTTTTAACCATATGTCAAGGTCCTGTATCTCTTAAGGCTTAGAGAATCTCTTTATAAAACAGGAGATTTGTTTGGCTCCGTGATTTTAGTCAGTTATTCCAAAAATAATCCAAAAAACAGAGGAGGTGACCTACTTTAGAAACTTTATAATACTACTAATAAAGAGTAAAATACCTTAAAAAGGTTGTGATGATGTGATGCATCCCATTTCAAATGTTTTTATTTCTCTCCCTCTGTCTAGACGGTGGTTCTCCATACAAAACAGTCAGCTGGTCTATCAGAAGAAGCTCAAAGTAAGTCCACTTTAGTCCATGTCAGCTTTCTTTAGGGATGATGTGGCTTGTGAGAGTTTAGTAGTGCTGTTTATGGTGATCTACATTGAATTATGCACGTTAAGCAGGTCAGAGAGTAATAAACATAAAATAAAAACTGCTCTGTCTGTTTTAGCCTGAATACTTAACCTCTCAGGTCTCAGTGTACCCTCAGGGGGAGCCAACAGATGGTCAGGAGAAATGTATATTCTAGAAGGAAAATGGCTGTTTTCTGTGTTGAAGATAGCAGGAATGAGAAGATGTTTTTGTGTTTGCAGGATTCTCTGACGGTGGTAGTGGAGGACCTCCGGCTATGCTCTGTTAAACCATGCGAGGACATCGAGAGGAGGTTCTGCTTTGAAGTCGTCTCCCCCTCCAAGTAAATAAGCACGATGCCA